CAGATTGTATTTAGGGTATGGCTAAAGACACAAGCAAGACCAATAATGCAACATAAAGTGGGGACTTTAGGTCATGCCTAGAAGGGATGGCAACTGGAGATTGAGGTCAAGTACATGGAAAATCAATCATGCCTATGTAATGGAGCCCCCAACAAAAACTCTGAACACAACCTTCAGATGAGCTTCCCCGATGGCAAAACTTTATGTACATTGTCACTCTCCAGCGCAGGAGAATGATACATCCTGACGTCAGAGAAGGGAGACAATAGAGATTCCACACTTTGTACTTCTTCTGGACTCTGTGCTACATGTTCCTTACTTTGACTGTATCTGTTACTTATAATGAATTATAACCATGATGTCACAGCTCTTGGTGAATTCTATAAGTCTCTGAGTGAAATGTCAAACTTGGGGATGGTTATGGGAGTATTTCCTGAACCTGCAGTTGGTATGAGAGGAAAAGGTGGTCTTTTGCAACAACTGTTCCCTGTAACTCTGTAGCTGGCCTGAAACTCTCACAGAAGATAAGAGATTGTTTTAGTCAGATTTTTCACCACTGTGACCAAAAGACCTATCAAGAACAGTTGAGGGAAAATTTATTTGGGGGACTCAAAGTTTTAGAGGTCTCAGTCCATAGATAGCCAGCTCCATTGCTGGAGGCCAGAGGTGAGGGATTACATCATGGTGGAAGAGTGTAGAGAGAGAAAAGTAGCTCAGGATGTGACACCAGTAAGCATAAAGAGAATTCTCTCACCAAAGACAAAATATATACCCCACTGGCATGGTCCAGTGGCCCTCCTCTTCCAGGCACACCCTACCGGCCTACAGTTACCACCCACTTAATCCCTATCAGGTGATTAATGCAGTCATTAAGTTAAAACTCGTATAACCTACTCACTTCACCTCTAAACTTTCTTGCATTGCCTCACACATGAGCTTTTGGGGGACACCTCATATCTAAACCATAATAGAGATATAGCATGCTTGATAAGAAGCAAAGAGAAGGGTAGACATTATTATTAGATAATAAATAAAACATCCAGTTGGGACACTTTAGGAGATAACTGAGGACGACTAAAATTCCCACTGAATAGGTAAGGGTGTGACTAGATTTTCACCTTACAAATACTATTATGACTCTACTTTTATGCCTTATCTAACTTGGTCTGAAAAATAGAGGATATATATTGCTGTGGACATTTTATTTCCTGTCATGTTCAAATAAACTCCTATCAGACAAGACCTTCTGTGGGTTAAACTGTGAAATCTGAGCAAATCTAGGAAAGGCACTGAGGAGCAGACAGAAGCAGGAGGATCCTGGAGAGGATTCAACACTTGCATGGAGGCAATGGCGTGATTTGTGTTTCCTATTTTTATAAACATCTGGTTTACCTGAGTGAAGGCTGCCATGTGGATATACCCATGAAGTGGCTAAAATTCAGAAAGGAGCTAATTGACTTATGGTTTATAAAATTAGAGCACAAACCTTGGAACAACTGCAAAACTGGAAGGTAAGGAAGGAGTACAGGAAATTCTCAAATCTCCAACTAGCCTTTTAGCTATACTTGTATAGGGCAGACTATAATAAGCACTCAGAACTAAAATGAAAAAAATCCAAGTTAGACTTGAGCTTGTGTCCAGTGAAAGAGAGTTTATAAATATAATATTCTTCAGATAAACATATTACAAACCACAGTCTCTACAGTGCATCATCATGATGATGAGAATATAGTTTAAAACTCTTTTGGCATACAAAAAAAAAGTTTAGGAAAACACAATCCTAAGAAATCACAATCCAGCTAGACATGGTGGCACACTCCTGTAATCCCTGTGGCTCAGGAAGCTGAGGCAGGAGGCCAGTTCAAAGCCAGCCCCAGCAATTTGGCAAGGCACTAAGCAACTCAGTGAGACCCTCTTTATAAATAAAATACAAAATAGGGCTGGGGATATGGCTCAGTGGCTGAGTGCCCCCTAGTTCAAGCCCTGGTATCAAAAAAAAAAAAAAAATCACAATCCATTGAGATGAACCCTACAATGACGGAATTAGCAAACAAGGATTTCAAACCAGCCATTGTAATATTATCTAGGACAAAAGGGAAAATATGTATGCAATGAATAAAAAGATACAAAATCTCAGCAGAGACGTTAAACCGAAACAAAAACCAAGGGGAAATTTTTTTTAATTTATTTTTTTAAACTATAAGGTATGATTTTTTTAAAAGAGAGAGAGAGAGAGAATTTTAATATTTATTTTTTAGTTTTCGGTGGACACAACATCTTTTTTTTTGTACGTGGTGCTAAGGATCGAACCCAGTGCCGCATGCGTGCCAGGCGAGCGCACTACCACTTGAGCCACATCCCCAGCCCAAGGAGAAATTTTTGACCTGAAAAATTCAACACTTAAAATGTTAAATTTTACTGGATGAAGTTAATAGTCGACTTGAAGAAGCATAAGAGTTAGTAAACATGAAGATAGAGCAACAGAAATGATCTAATCTGAAGAATGGAGAGAAAAATGATTGCAGGGTTTGGGGGAGAAGAAGCTCAGAGACTTGTGGGTATTTTCAAACGGTACAACTTGGTTATAACTGAAGTCCAGAGACAGAAGAGAGACAGAGAAAGGTAAAAATAGAACAATGACAACAACAACAAAACATGGAAATAGTAGTGGCCAAAATTTTATCAAATTTGGCAAAAAGATAAATTTACAGTTGCAAAAAGTCAAAAAAACACAAATAGAACAAATAACTCCCCAAACCCCATATACACAAAAACCTAGATCTGTCAAAATAAACAGACAAAAACAAACAAAAAAATGTTGTAAAAAGTCAGGTAAAAAGGTTATAGTTTTACAGAGGAACAACCCTTTAAGTGACTATAGATTTCTCAACAAAAACAGCAAGGGCCACATACAGAGAAAGAATTTCTTTAAAGAGAAAAAAGAAAAGAATCTGTCAGCCTAGAATTCTATATCTAGTAAAAATATCCTTCAGGGATGAGGGTATAATCTATACTGGCAAATAGCATGCAGCATATGCTAGGTAAGGACAGAATTATTTTCTCTTTTATACTGCCTTCTTTGATACACAGAAAATGTGTTTCTAATCTACCTCAAAGACTCAGGATTTATAGTTGTTCAACTAAAGCATCTCCCATTTGCCTTTCAGTATTATGAGATGTACCCATTACACCAGGGTATTTTTGAACTTCATGGAATTGGAGCTCTACTTTCTACATATTTTTGCAACAATGATGCCATTGACTTTATGAATGTAAGGCATGCCACTCACCTGATCTAGCTCCCCATCACCAAGAAAGTTAATGATATCTCCTTTAAAAGGAAGGGTAATTTAGGGCTGGGGTTGCTTTAGTATTTTGAGAACCTTATGCAAAGAAATATCAGAATGCTATATATGGCAACGTTAAAAAAAAAGCTGTTTGGCACACATGTGTAAACACAGAGGTTTAAATTTATATACAGTAATTTGAAATCTCTGTACACAGTAATCATTTAAATGTGGCATGTTGTCTCCCTAGACAAATTTAGTGATGACAATATTATCAAATGTGAACCCTGATACATGCATTTCTTAATCTTTCTCTTTCCTAAATTTACCAAATAAAAATCTTCTCTCAATAAACCTGAGAAATTTTTCCTTTTATTTGTTTTTTTTTTCTTTCCACAACTATTAAGTTTATCCTTAGTGAGATGAAACACTAAGTGCTTAATGGCCTATTTATGGATGAAGTATTTGCTAAGATTCCTGAAGCCCATTTTCCTTCCTTAAATACCTGGAGGGGGAAGTCCCAAATGCTAACTGACTACCAACTTTTAGATTCAAAGTAAGCAGAACTTTTCCCCCTGATACACGTTTCAGAAATCTTCAGTAGCATTTCTAGGGGTACAGACAGAAAAACTGAGGCAAGTCATGTGCAGAATTCTGTTGGCTGAAAAGGTCTCAGCCAAATAATGTTTGGGAAGTTTTAAGGTTGTGGCTCTCATGTTGGTTCATCTTGACCCTTATGTGAACTCTTTAAAATTGAAGAGTAACTTTAAGTAAGTATTCTCCCACCACACAAAGTATCCTATAAGGACTCTGTAATCACAAACCACATAGTAAATTGATGTGTTCACAACTCTTCCTTGTATTGATTATTACATTCTCTTATGTCCCACCACCCTGACTATTCAAAAACTAACCAACCCAGTGCTTGTTTGAAAACCTCAAATCATTTTTCCTTGTTTTAGAATTTTTAAATCCATGCTTTGCTTTTGAAATCCAAATTACATATTACAAAAAGTGTAACGTGACCACTAGAATTGGGACAAGCCAGGGGATTTCTGGACACTTACAAGGCTGCTTACTGCTGCTGCTAACCACCCTTTCATGGTCTTTCTACCACCTATTATATGCTTAGCAAGTGCCAGCCACCCCACTAAGTATTTTGTATGTATTCCCTTATTTCATACAAAATATATTAATTCTCTTCCCACCCCATAAGGTTGAGAAAAATAAGACTTCAGAAAATTAAGTGAAGCATCCAAAGTTGTATTAGCTAGCAAGGGGCAGACCTGTGCTCTGAAACATATAGAGTTGGTTCCAGTAGTCATGCTACATGGCCTTCCTACTGTCTCTGTTTGTAGAGTGAGTAGTATATAATATTTAATCAAATTATATATACAAATTATATATTATAAACTTTGGTCCCCAATTAACAATGGTTTGATTTATGTCTATTTTTTTTATTTTACAATGATGCAAAAGTGATGTGCATTCAGTAGAAATCATACTTTGAATTTGGATTTTGATCCTTTCCTGGCTAGCAATAAGCAGGATGATACTTTCTCATGATGGGCAGCAGTCCTGAGCTATAGCTCCCAGTCAGCCACATGATCAAGAAGGGAAGTAACTGCTAATTGACTGCAGATTGTGTGGCTAAGCTCCCATGCTTGCTAGGTTAAATCTACTAAACAAATGCATTTTTCAACTGATGATATCTTCAATGTACAATGGATTTATTTGGACATAACCCTATCATAAGTAGAGGAGTATCTATATTATGTAAAATCATACATCTTATACATGCCATGTTTGTATAATATGACATATAATATATCATTTGGCTACAAATCATATATAAATGTATTTTTACTAGAAAATTACATAACATAATATTCAATCAAATACATGAAGTACATATATATATGCATTCTAAACAATTTATATGTTTATTAATAATCTGAAAATATAATTTTTGAGAATCAAAGTGATTTTTCTGTTTTCATTTTTTGTTTTTTGTGGTACTGGAATTAAACCAGGGGTACTCTACCACTGAGCTATACTCCAGCTCTTTTTTATTTTATTTTGATAGAAGATCTCATTAAGTTGCTGAGACTGGCCTCAAACTTGAAATCCTCCTGCCTCAACTTCCCAAATTAATGGGATTATGGGCTTTCACCACCATGCCTAGCTTAAAAGTATTTTTGTAGACATAATTATAACTGTATTTTGAGTCAGGGTACTTTAATCATAAATCATACATTAAAAACATCCTTGGGGCTGGGGATGTGGCTCAAGCGGTAGCGCGCTCGCTTGGCATGCGTGCGGCCCGGGTTCGATCCTCAGCACCACATACAAAGATGTTGTGTCTGCCGAGAACTAAAAAATAAATATTAAAAAATTCTCTCTCTCTCTCTCTCTCTCTCTCTCTCTCTCTCTCTCTCTCTCTCTCTCTCTTTCTTTAAAAAAAATAAAAAAAAAAAAACATCCTCACCCCAGATCTATATAACACCTCAAATTTGGATTGCTCCTCCACACAGGTCAGTCTAATAATGACCTTGTAGATTATGCTATCCTAGAATTATGACTATTTAATTAGGCGTGAAAATATTTTTGTTAAAGCATCTTCTGTTGATGACATGGAAAACTGAATAAGATTTCATTTGTGAAAGTACTCATTTTATTGAAAATAATATTAAGCCATGGTTTGATAACAAGGAAATATAGTAACCTGCTGGCAAAACAATTGACGCAGAGCTAATGGTGTGCACCAGCACACAAGGAAATAATGTGTACCTGTTACCATTGGTTGCTGCCTGTGCTATACTAGTTAAATATTTTTAATTGCAATCCTAATTGTATAAATAGATACAACTTAAATGTTCTTGTGTTTGTGTTAAAGTGTCAAAGGTAAAGCTTTAATTTGTAACCCTACAAACTCCTATTTTATGCATTATAAACTTTGGTTTAGAAACAGCAGCATTTGTTTTCTTTATGATCCTGTTAGTTCATTTTCAAAGCATACGAGCTTAACTTAATATTTTAACTGGATAGGCTTATTTCTGCTGGATAAAAAGTACATACCATTATTCTTCTATTGAAATAAAGAAGATTGAGGGACCTAAGTTTTCTTATTCAAGAACAAAATTTTAAAGGACTTAGATCATCTTAAAAGAGATTATTTGGTTTTTATCAGACATGCAAAAACCAACATGAACATGCATATACGTAAGTTTGATAAATATGCCTCCACTTTCCATGATGAATGAAAAAGATTAAAATTATAAATTCAGCAGTTTGAAACTTTCATTGCATAAGCTAATGTTTGACTTTTTTAAAGCTGAGATCTAAACTTGCCAGAAATGATCTCCTTTTTCTTATCTTTACCTTTTGTTAATAGTATGGTATGTCTAGCAATGATTTCAAACAGAAATGTCATTGTTTTCTGTACACCTTTTGACAAGGCAGGCAGTTTCACTGGGCTTAAGCAAGGAGTGATACAAACAGTCTAAGGAAGTAAAACTAATGAGCTTTAGTATAAAAAAATAAAGTGTGAAGCCAAGTTAGCAGTGGGTGAGAAAACTATATACCAAAAAAAAAAAAAAAAAACCCAGAAAAACAAGGGTGAGTGTGGAAAGATACACAGACATTAGTTTCCTAATATGTGTGAATATAACATAAAATACTTGCAGAAAAAAAGTGTAAAAGAGGGTGAAAAATAAATTAAGCACATGTTCACAACTGTAATTCCTCAAAGAACTCTCACCAGGCAGGCCAAGTAAAGGTCATAAGACGTTAAAGTCACTGCCCAACAGAAGTGATAGAAATTTCCATTGCAGTAACAAGTGAAGGTAGGCAGAGGCTATGAGTTGCACAGCCCCCTAGGTTACTGGCTGAGGGCAGCTCAGAGTTTCCAGTTAGGCAGTTTTGATGTCTTAAAACTGTCTTGGACTTACAGTTAATCCATAAAGAATCACAGTATGCATTACATTCCCCAGAGACAGAAAGTATGTCTAAGTGGGAAGACAGTCTTAATGTGTATTCTGAAACGAGTGTGGGACACAGAAGAAAAAAATTGATGGGTAAATACTTGAAATTTTTGAGGATTTTCTTTTCTCTCATTTAGATTTGCCCTATAATTTTGATTATTAACAAATTCACATTTGTTCTTATGCCATTATATATAGAGAGATAGATATAGATATAGATATTGATATAGATATATAGATAGTAGGAGAGTTTATAACCATTTATGATCAGTGACAGAAGTTGTTTATTATCTTAGACTCTTCTACCTTAATTTTACTACTCTGAATATTTTTCCTTCCTACCTCTTTAGTATGATATTGGAATCATAAATGAATCATTTAAAAAAGTAAAACCCAGATTACCAGATTGATTTAATTAACAACCACTAAATGAGTGGTTCAAATCAAAACTTCACTTCTAAAGCAGCTCTTCTGTGATGTCCATTTAGCATTTTTCACCCAGGTGGTCTCCAGGAAACACAGCTTCCACTTCCCTATGATTACAAGTGGAGGCAAGAGGGTCTCACAGTTCTTCCTCAGAAAACAGTGGACTGTGTTTTTTCCCCTTCAGGCTTCTCCGTCTACAAAGAAGAAAAGAATTGTCATACACAAGAAAACCACAGTAATTTTTAGGCTTTTCTATTAATTTTCTGATGATCTTCTATGAGGAAATTCTACAAGGTCATAAAGCATAACTGTTCTGTCTGCTTAAATATCATTTCCCTCAACTTCATCCTCCATAGAAATAGCAGAAAAAACTCTCTAATGATTCCTTTCCTCTTCAGAAAAAAGCCCAACCTTCCTCACAGAACCATCATGTATAGCCTTTGCCTACATCCATCCTGTCTTCCCATCTCACAATTATATGCCAATAATACAGAATTATCACACATGCCATTTATTGCTTTCATGGCTGGATTTGCATCTCTTCTTCCATTATACCTAACTCCTCATACCCAAACAATTCAGTGTCTCCTCTCTGGATTCCTTCCCTGAAAATGGTCTCTCCCACTGTGTCACAGGGAGTGCTACAGCTCCATTCTCCTGCATGTTCTAATAACCAGTGCCTACCGCCATCACTCCTTTTGCCATGTTGTATTTTAATTGAGTACTTATCTGTCTTCATTATCATTCAATGTTCTGGAGGGCAGGGACTTTATGATTTCTTTAAATTCCATGCCTTGATAGATACACTAGTACATAGTAGACTCTAAATAAATGTTCCTGGAATGAAAACAAATATATAAAAAGTAAGCTCAGCTGAACCATCCAAATTTAAAGTCTGATTCAACTTTGCTGATCTATCCCCATGGATTTGCTTGCCTCAATCGTAGTCTCCTGACTCTCCTTTACCTTCACTTCTCTGTTGGATTCTATCTTGAGTTTCTTTGGTTTGGTTTTGGTTTTGGTTTATGTATTTTCATTTTTTTGTTTTGTTTTGTTTGGTTGCGTTTTACTCAAACCTTGTCTGCTTTCTATTTTTAGTTAATACTGGATTAAAGTTGGTGAACTTACATGGATTAAATGGTTTGTGAAAATTACACCACGATTTAGGTTTTAAAAACTGCCCTGGAATAATTGTAAATACTATGATGTTTGAATAATTAACATAAAATTCCTTCATCATATGCATATGCATCTATTTGGTCACCTGCCGATTCAAAATTGATATCACCCCATGAATTGGCATTATTGACTCTTAGTTTTAGTTTATGATAATCCATTGAGATTTCAAAATTCTGTAGTTTTAGAGCTAGGTTTTATCAACTTCTTTTCCTCCACCTCAAATTTTTATGACTATCTTTTCCCCCTACAATTAAGGTATAGGGACAAATAACATACCAGAGGGAAGAACATTTTGATTATTTGTAAAGCACCTGAGAAAATGGTACCTGATTTTTTTTAAACAGGATTAAAGCTAAGATGGCCATCCTTATGGTAGTTTTTAGTATCTGAAAGTAAAGACCTTCAATACCCAAGATACAAAACAAAAGCCAATCATATATTACATTGCAAGGAAAGCAAAAGGCAAAACACACAAATCAAGCAGAAGAAAAGCATAATGGCAGAAATAAAATAATCATTCACCTTCTTTGTGGTGTGTGTGTGTGTGTGCGCGCGCGCGCGCGCGCGCTTGCATAACAAAAACAATGAGAGAGACATTTTAGGATTCTCCTTATCTCAGGCTAAACTCACAAAGGGAACAGTATTACCTTGACCTTTTCTAGACTTGGTTAAAAATAGATTTTTTTCACCCATAACCATTCACTGTCAGAAAGCGTTTTTTTTTTTTTAATTTGAATTCTGTAAAATTATATTTGAATTTACCAGTTAGCCATTCCAGATGATATGCCTCTGTTTTTGCTGGCTTGAGACCAAGTGACTGTCAGTTATTATCTACTTCAATCACACTTGAACAAAGTACACTCAATAATAACTAGCAGGAAACAGTGCAACTGGATTATAATGCAAACAGAAAATCTGAACATTATTTCATTTTCTTTAGGATTTTTCACAGACTTTAGTGAAATTATTACTAAATACCAGTGGCACTCATTGAGTTAGACAGTCTACTTGTTCTATCGGCACCTATTTGCGTCCTTTGTACTGATTTTGCAGAGACACAAAATAAATTGCCTGCTTGAGTTTAAACTCTTTACCTTTAGGCATTTTCCTTACTATTGCCTCCCTCCCTCCCTCCCTTTTTTAATCCTTGCAAAGTTAGACACCATAGAAAAACTGTTATTTGCCTCATAATGGCCTCTTCAGTGTGTTTCACAGTCTTTTGTGGAAAATAATGACATAATGATAGTGTTCTCAGACCTATATTTTCTACTTGATAAACCAGCAATTATATGATTAAAGCATTTTTAGAAACTCACATTAAGTATATGATACTCTAGAAACCAGTCCATCATACTAATTACACAGTCAGAGAGAAATAATTTACATGACTAAAAACCATCTGAAACAGTATTTGTGACTAGTATGGATTAAAAAAATAAGAAGTATGAAATAATTCTATTTATAATATACTTTTTAATGTTAGGACTATAAATTTGGTATTTTGTAAATCTGGTTTCAACCTTTATTTTCTGTCATTAGTAACAGGAAATTGTGCTAAACTCTGCTGGAAACATGTTGGGTGCAATAGGAATCTGATTATTTCTCTACAAAAAAACATGTACTTGCAGACAACAGAGACAGGTGAGCAATGCCCAGGCATTTACGATCTGTGATGAGCAGCGATTTTTGCCCAGGACTTTTCTTAGATACATCACAATGGCAAATTTGACTAGACTTATGATTTTCTTGAATGTCATATCATTATACCAACATTATGATGAGCCGGGAGAGAAGTATCTGTATACACATAATTTTCCTCAGAAAACAGAAAACCCATTTAACAGGATGCACAGCATGTTATGAGGGATTTACCCTTAAGACCTAAATATCCTAACAAGTACAGTTTTGCATTGTTTTGCTTAGCTTTTTGAAGCACCAGCGACTCTGCTTTATTTCCAGTTCATTGAGAAAGAAAAAAGAAGTTACAGTGCTCAACCTCAGAACCAACCCTTCAAAGGGATGATCTCACAGGATGACGTGGACAAATAATGGGTTACGGATATAAAACATAAAATAAACCTATGTAAGAATACACAAGACGTGTACAATAGGGCTAACCTGTTTGTGGCCAAGGGTGCATGTGAATTAAATATGGTACAAGGAAGAGAAGACTTTTCATAGTTATATGTATCACCCATTCAAAAACTATGTCAACCTTAAAGAAGCAAAGGAGTCTTGATCTCTGTGCGGAATGGGCACTATGGAGAGTGAGTATACCCTATGCTATGGTAAAGCTTTAAGAGTGAAACTCACTCCTGAGTTTGATCTCCTCACCACAAGGAAAAAAGAAAACGAAGGTGAAAGTCACCAAGCTTAGATGCCTTTCACTGTTGATTTATTCCACCTCTACCACAATCCCTTGAGGACATTGGTTTCTATGTCTTCTATATCCAAAGAAGTTGAAAACACACCACATTTTATGTTATAAGGATAGTAACAGAGCAGAATCAGACCACCACAGGGCATTCTTCAGGTGTCCAAAGTCCAGTGATCAGCATAACAATAAATATATTTGACAGTGCCTGGGAGAGATGGTAAGGAAACCAGCCTTGGCCAACAACTAATTGTGATCCTTCAGCTTAACCCCAGCCCTTGTCAGTGAGGCATCCATTCTCAAAGTCTCTGCCATTTAAAGCACTGCAAGGAGCTGAGGATTAAAAAACCAAGATAGCCAACAAAGTATAGGTACCAGACATATCTGCAGTTACCTGTTTCTTCCAGATCTACACTTCTTGGGTCATTCATTTTGTGACTAAGGAAACATTCACCTTGATATTAGGAAACGAGGTAAAGGAATGATTACTTTGTCAGTCATTTGTGCAAAGGATAATGTGAAGAGATACTGCAACAATGGAGTAAATCATCACAGAGCCACCCCACACAGAGCCACCCCACACAGGACATTGCCGCTCCGCCAGAGCAGTGGGTAGCAGGGGAAGAGAGGATCATCAGTTGTACTTTGCTGTCCCTTAGCTGGTGAAGAGCTGATTTCAAGATTAGGAGTTAGTAGGACTAGGATTCCAGTCTTCTGAGTTCAGGTTCACTGCTGCTTATGCCAGGCATTTTCTTTACTACCTGTTTCTCCTCCACAGATAGCAAAGACTTTCCATGGTGTGCTGCAAAGCTCACACCAGAAGTGAGACACATGTTACTTCATAAAGTTTTCGGCTACTCTGAGAGAGGAGTAAAACAAAAACATGCTGGTCTTTTTTTGTTTTGAGGTTTTTCTTGTTTGTTTTGTCTCTAATGAAATTTCTTTGTAAAGGTCAAAACTATTTAAAAAGAAGAACTACTGTGTTTTGCAAAATGAAACATAAACATTGATTAGAACATTCGAATTTCAACTCAGAATGTATGAACACTGCCTCCTGTGAATTTGGTATTCAGCTGAAACTACTGATACAAAGCCAGTCTGACCTTATCAACTTATATCTTAAAATGTTTACAGGAAAAAATACTGAACTTTTCTTTCTTCTACCTCTACCCAACCATATTTCTCTCACCTTCATGGTTACAATAGAAGGCAATGGGACAGCATCAATATCACACACTGGAGAGAAAGAGCCAAAACCTGATGGGAAAAACAAAGTATACTGTAGTTTTGAACTATTTAAATTACATTGAACTATTTAAAATACATGCATGCATACCCCCTTGCCTTGAGGAAGTCTTCTGATTTTGTTTGCATGTACTTTGGTATGTTCTGGTGGAATTCTCAAGCACACTAGCTCTGAGGCCTTTAGTGTGAAAGCTGGTGGTCTGAGGCCAGACAGTCTTCTCTGTTGTCCCTCATTTTCTGTGCTTATGTTACACTGAAAAAAGTTTTAATGGTTTGGTGTAAATAGAGCAAGATTAAAAAGAAAGCCTTTCTAAAGAGACTTTCAGAAAGTTAAAGAGAACAATCATTACATTAAAAATTCCATCATTAGTGCCTTAATACTATGACCTATCATAAAAATGCTATTTTAATTGTCTTATCATCTATTTAAATGTTTTGTGTTTATTGTTATTCCCAGCAGCTAACAATGAGAAAAAAAGCAGCAATAAACTCAGTTTGAGACCATTTTTTTTTACTGCAAATCATTACTAATGAGCTCTGAAGAACATGTTGCTGACCCTATTTCTTTTGTAATTTCATAAAATTATTAGTAATGCTTATTACAAAGTACACATAAAGCAAATATACATATGTATATGCATATCTTAACAGATAAACTTTAATCCAAAAAACAAAGCTGTTTTGTTTTTAGTTTTTTCTTTTCCATAAGACAAACTGTGCTTAATGAACTTTACTAAAATTTCACAGAACTCAAAAGAGAACACAATGAAGAATGCAGACCCTGCCTATGGAGATGTGTATGCAAGAAGTGGATTGCCTTTTAATCTCAGTGTGATTGAGAAGCTCTGTGCCAACAAAGTACTGGACTTTGTAATGAAACCCCCTTTCTCCACAGAAAAGTCTCAACTGGATTTCTCCAGAAATCTTCACCATGGCTGATTTTAGGACTATCAGCAAAAGAATCTCTACAAAAGAGTTCAATGTAGATAAACTTGCAATTTTTGTGTTGCCCTGTTTTACTTGCCCAGTGGCCGGGAAGAAATCAGCACTCCAGTTGCCGGACACCCCCTTTCTAGTTTTTCACAAACATGTATCCAGTATAGTAGTTTGTAGAAATGTATAAACAAGGCCTTTGGCCTTGAGCTGGGGCTTCACAGAGATGTCTACATTTCTAAGATAAGAGAAGTTACCAGTTGGGCTCCATGGTAACAGCTAGCAGGGGGAGGAAAGAAGGGGGAAAAGAAGCTCTCCCCTTCTCAGATGTTGTCCTTGAAGGGTTAACTTGCCCAGAACAGTGAAAGAAAGAAAAAAAAAAACTGCTTTTATGTGAACTTCTACAGACTGTGAACTTCTGAGCCCCTCCTCTTACATGCTGGGTATGAAATTCTGAAACTACCTGAACTCCGGTTCAGGGGATGGATTGATTACGGCAAAAGCTGTGCCCTTTGAACCTGGCTGTAGCCAAAAAAGAAAAAAGAAAACTGTTTCCTGCTATCTTCAGTGCCTTGCCTTGTCTGTCCCTACAACAACTTAAAGTTAGGAAATGCAGGCCCAGCCCTGGTGGGTTACTAGGGTATGCTGAGGACTCCAGTGCTCACCTTTCATACTTTAACATGGATATAATAGCTTTTATTTTATGAGGCACTTGGAAGAATTAAATTTAGAATATTAGCAAACACCTAATGATGATATATAAAATATCCATTTTATTTTTAATATCAGAACTTTAATGCCAAATATGTCATTAAGATTCCAGTATATTGATTCAAATATCTCAGATATCTATTTCTAAAGGTAATACAAAAAAATAGATAGGTAATTATATGAATTTTTATTTCATTATATTGTTGGAAATAGAATGCAGATGATATTTGTATTCAAGGGAGAGCAAATTATTTGTGCTTATCTCAAAGATAAGTGTTCATTTCCTCCTACTACTTATCAGACAAGACACAAAATGTTCATCACCTACCCCTGCTGGTGTTGAATTTTGCTAATATTTCAATGAAATTGACACAAATGCAACAAATAGGTTGAAAATCATAACCTAGAGCTTATACCTATTATAATATTAACTAATAGTAATATAATGGTAATTTTAATGCACTTATATTACTATGTAATTTTATCATATGTCATATGCTATATTTTTCTAAGTATTCCACAACTGGAACAATGGAACAAAATGGATTAATAAGATATTACAAGAGCTGGTTCTAGAATCTCATGATGTCAGACTCACCAGTTACCTCTGTGACCTCTAGTAAGTCACCTAATCTTTTCCAGTTTCTTCACTATGAAATGTGGATAGTAATAGTACCTCTGAAGACTGCTGTGAATGATCTAACAAGTTATCCCAGGTTTAGAGCTTAGTGCCATGTCTGACACACAGGAAGGACTCAATAAATGCTTGTTGTTACAATATGACTGTATATTTCTATACATGAGCATTTTGGACATGCTGACCAATTCCCACACTATATTTGTAAAGAACAAAAAGATTACCATCTATCCAGATTCATTTTCTTTTCTGAGTTAGGGCATGTTTCCCTGTAGTTTATTCAGATGAAATCTAAGTGATTTCTGCTTTCAAGGTCAATTTGATTGCCCAAATAATTTGACCCAAAAAATCTGTAATATACTTTAATAGCTTTATGGCCTCATATTCATAAGAGGCCTAGTAAAGTTTTATTCCAGATTTTTGACATATAACTTCATTTCTTCATTCATCTTAAAAAAAAGGGATTATATGAAACCCCTATCACAATCCAGGCACTAAATTAACTTGTGGTATACAAAGTTAAGCAAAATTTTAAATGCAATGTCTGCATACATGCAGTATGGAAAAGAACTTTTCATCAGAGTCATTACATAAACAAATCTAAAATTCCAACTGTAGCAAGTGATCTAAAGGAGAAAACCAAAATGCTAGGGGACTATATATAGTTCTTTGTGTGTGGGGGATTATTGGAGATTGACTCAGGACCACTCAACCATTGAACAACATCCCCAGCCCTATTTTGTATTTTATTTAGTGACAGGGTCTCATTGAGTTGCTTAGCACCTCACCATTGCTGAGGATGGCTTTGAACTCTTGAACCTCCTACCTCAGCCTCCCAAGCTGCTGGGATTACAGGTGGTTTTAAAGGAGAAGAACAAATTATTTTGGTGAATAAAGCTACTCTGGAGAAATGAAAATTGAGTTGAAGAAAGGGTTAGGGTACAAAGTGTGAGCAACTGTGCTCTAAGCACAGGGACATGTGTAGATAGGAGGGTTTCTAAAGGACCCTAGAGAAGGAAGGGGAGGCTGTAGTTTAGAGGAGAAGAATGAAGTGAATGAGATGAGGCTAGAGGAGTAAACCAAGCCACCCAAACCTGTCCAAGAGTTCGTTTATCTGATCCTAAGCACAAAGGGTAGCCACTGGAGAATTTTAAGCATGATCATGCCTCAGTTTTGAGGAAAGGAAGTGGGTGATCTGACTCTACATGAGTTCTGTGAAGACACTTTGGAGGTTAGAGTAATTGTGGAGAAACCAGTTAAGAGGCTGTTGCCAGGCTTCAAAAGAGAGAAAGCAGAGGCATAGTTAGATTAGGGCAAGTGAGCTAGAGATTTTGCAAGAGATGGAGACAGAGCTTGGTTTTCATAAAACATTCACTCTTCCCTGTCATTGCCCAGGGTCATTTTTTTCATGTAAAGATATTTTCCTTCTGAAATAGTCTAAAGAATCCAAGGAAAGGTTAATAGTGGGTAAATGATTCCACATACACTTGAAGTCATGAAGAAAAATTTCTGAATAATCTGTATTGTTTCCTCCTAGGTGAGAGTCTGTTGGTATTGCTATAAAACAGCATTTCCTTTGAGAATAACAAAGAAAACAGTTTCCATTGAAACACATTTTTATTATGAAAATGATATAGGTAATAATCATTTACAAGAAATTAGATTAAAAAGTAGTAACAATTTTAAATCAAAACTGAAAGAAAGGAAAACACTTCCAGGAACTTTGGAATCTGCAGAACAAATAGCTGCTGTCTCTGGGAGAAGAGCTCCCATATTTTGGCGACTAAGCAACCGTGCTTTTATGTGTGATAACCAAAGCACCATCCTCCTTAAACGGTAAATGAATGAAAACGAACATGTGCGCGTACCCACACACACATATACATGCATTCCTAACATATAAGTCACACATCCCACAGGATTAGGTAGAAAAACAAAAGGAATGGTACATCTTCCTTGCACAAAACCAAGACATAGAAACATCTATTACAATTTTCTCTATGATAAATTACATCTCGCCCCCTAAAAGAAAAAAAAAAAATCAAATCATTGGCAGTCTAATTCTCCCAAAGTAGAAGTGAGACATTAATTTAGATCATTGTGCACATTGAAAACTTACTGCACTGCAGGGATTTCCAATTACATAATGCAGAATCAGAACTCTGTTTGGGTGCCACTTGGCTGCCAACAGCCATGGGTGAGCTGTGTAACACTCCTCTGTCATGTAGCTCATGTGAGAAAAGAATTCTGCTGTTCCAAGAAATGGCACTCATCTTGGAGACCTTCCCAGTCACACAAAAGAGCATAATTTCCACATTATCCCCAGGCATACTGTCTAGGATGATAAGTCTATGATAGCTTTATGTGTAAATTGTATACACAGTTCTACTAATGAAAGCCACATGGACTGCTTTTTGGAGGTGGCAATGCAGAAAAACAGAATCAATTTGTTCCTCTGTTTTTATAAAATGATACCTAAGCTATATACAATCATCAACAGAGACTGTGAGGGTTAGATGATAGATAGGGTAATTGCACTGTGATTATTTGTAGATCAGGACTGGAGTTGGCAAGCAGTATCAAAAAGGTGCAGACTTAACTGGCTTATTGCAGTATTTTGGTTTTAAGTCCTTCAGACTTTTAATCTAGTACTTATCTCTGTTTTTCATCAGGGACTGCACTCTTTTTTGCACTGCGTTTTAATTTTTCTCTACATGAACACATACTTGCAGAAGAGACAGGAAGTAAAGGACAGATGAATATTTTCTTATATTTATTATTTATTTGGTGATGATATTCCATATGTGGTACACCTGTGTGCCAGACATATTAAACTGGAGGATAAGACCATGTTCTTTTCTCCTAGAAACTCACAGCTCTTTTGGTAAGGGTCAAAAAACATGACTTTTGTATACTGGCTATCAGTAAGTTCTGGAGGATTTCTTTTTAGTTTATTAAACTCAACCATT